GTCTGGATTTTTCAATTTCCGACTGGACATCTTGTCTTCATTAGTAGGTATCAACTTTTTTAAAATATTACTGTCTATTTTTATTCTAGACAGGGCATCAGCATTAGTATTAATTTTTCCTTTTTTGTAGATTATTTCAAAATCATAATCTGATAAATCGATTCGAATCCTCGTCATTTTTGACGAAGGATTCTTGTGCACGAATAATGAAATCAAGGGTCTGTGGTCAGTTACAACATAAAAATGTTTGCCATATATGTATGGTCTGAAGTAGTTTATTGCCCAATGTATCGCAAGTAGTTCCTTTTCAATAACTGGCTTGTTCTTGCTTTCCTGTAAAAACGGGTAGGAGTTTTTCTACACTTTCTATTACAGAGTCATACGACGCCATATTTGCTATTTGTGTACCGTTGTTATTTTGATTACCACTTGTTGTGTGGTTATTTATGGTTATAGCGTCAGGTGTCTGTTCAGTTGATGTCATATTCAAGAGATATTTTCTTGTTTGAGTATATTTTTCTAAAAAAACTTCTTTTAGAGCTAAAAATTCCTCAAAATTTTTGGTTATATATGTTGCTTCTATAAGCCTTTTAAGGTCATCTAACCTATTTAGTTTAATGGCTATCGTGGGCTTAGTATATCCTCTGATACTAGCCTTTTTTGCGTTTTTAAGAATATCCTGAACTTCCCCTATGTATGTAGCAAAGTTTTCCATAAAATTATCAAAATTCAAAACGAGATCAAAATTAGTAACGAGATCGGACAAGAAAATGAAATTCAACACAATTCAAATTCAACAAATTCAATAGAAAAAAATTTTTTATACATTTTTTTTTTTTTGTATATTTTGTATGAGATATAATTCATAGATATAATTCATTATTTATTTTTTTGTTTTTTTTTTTTTAAATATATAATATTATAGTTATGTCATGATTATTTAAATGTAACAATAAGAATAAAAAAAAATATATATATATAATAATATTATAATTTGTTTAAATATAATAACATGCTAGTGTTTAAACGTTATTAGAATTTAACGCCGTGTGTACACGTTTATGTACATATTTTTTTATGTACTTGTTTATTTTATATGCTACTAATAAAATAATAAATACGATAAATAAAGTTATAATTACTACCTCTATATTTCCGGTGCTTGTAGCTGCATTGTTCTGTAGATTGTTGTTGGTCACCTCTGTCTTCTGTTGGACGTTGTTCTTCGTGTTGTATTCATCACTGGAGAACCATCCCATCGTTGAGTCGTTGATGATGAAATTTGCTGTATTTATAAATTGAGAAGTTTTCTTCTTGAATCAGATGAATATGTTGTTGTTACTGATGAAGACGTCTTATATGCCACGAAATTGAATCCAAGAAACTGTTGTTTTTGTTATTTGTGCACATACTCTATTAATGTTTATTAATGTTCATGAGTTTTTTATTTTTGTTTTGTATAACCGCGCACTGATTTAAAAAGTTGGTTAACATAATTTATAAGATCCTTATGTTTATGTTGGTGTTTTAATAACAAACCTTTTGACTTATAGGTTTGTCCACACACAAAACAGTTAAATTTGCACATTTTTAAAGTTAAATTATGTTACTTGCACTTATCGTTCAATAAATTGTTTTTATTTTATAATTTATATTTGTTTTACATTTTTACCACACAATTAATTTTGTATTTTCACAGTTGCATTTTATTGTTACTACACTTATATAATTACTTGCACTTATCATTCTATAAATTGTTCATATTTTATGAATAATATTTTCGCTTTAAAATTTAGTCCTTCCGATTTAGTATAAATTGTTCATTTTTTTTTTTTTTTAATAATATTTTCGTTTTAAAATTTAGTTCTTCCGATTTAGTATAAATTGTTCATTTTTTATTAATAATACATCGTTTTAAAATTTAGTCCTTCCGATTTAGCATAAATTGTTAATTTTTTATTAATAATATTTTCACTTTAAAATTTAGTCCTTCCGATTTAGTATAAATTGTTAATTTTTTATTAATAACACATCGTTTTAAAATTTAGTCCTTCCGATTTAGCAGGATCGCCATGTAATTTGTTTATTGTTACATCATATTGTATTACTTTAAAAATCAAAGACTTGTCGTTTTGAGTGTTCTTAAGAGACTATCTTTATTCAATTTTATTTCTTAACTCTAACATCAATTCTTACAACTAATTTCCAATAGAATCTTATGTATCGATTCTATTGGTTGATACTTACATTTACTTCTTTACTTACGTCTAATTGGTTAACCCAAATTAGACGTACATAATAATTTACAAATATTATTTATTTACTTATTGGTCATTTATTCATATCTATTTCACAGTGGCACACATCTGGTAACCAACTGTATTGAGGACAAATCATATTGCATGCATAATCGCTTGCAATATGATCTGTGAAAAACTTAACACAAATTCATGTGTTTAGCATGCCACTATCCAAATTGTCAAATTGCATATTGAAATAATTAAATATGCATACAAATATTTTGTCATAAGGAAATGACAAAATAGACGAGTCAAATTTCTGACTCATAAATTATTTTATATTTGACAATTAGGTTTTTCGGTCATGCTTGATATTTGAGAGTTTTGGGTTGGCATGACACATTAAATACCGCACACAACGTATTGTGTGTGGTCATGGTTAATATGCCACTACACCCTCAACCCTTTAAGAAAAAATTTTATTTTTGAATATTGAACAATAGTTAAATAGGAAAATTTTTTACAATATTTGTTTATGTATTTTTTTTTTTTTTTTTTTTTTTTTTTTTTTTTTTTTTTGAATTGACCATGATCATAAGTAGTAATATACTAATTTCAGTTTTCTTATCTGTGTGTATAATATTTTTTTTTTTTTTTTTAAAAATATATGTATATCATAAGTGTTGTAAAATTAGACAAATTGTGATTTAGTTTTATTTTCTATATGAAAAAAAAATAGAAAAAATATATATAAATTTGAAATATTTAAATATGTAAATATAAAATATTGACATTGTATTGATAATAATATTTTATCTTAATCTATATTTTAATTAGTATCTATATAGCTTGAATTGAGTAATTTGTGTAAATTCTATAATTTGTTTAAAAATGTTTAAAATGTTTAGCAAATATATTTTTATTCTCTTTTGAATAATTTTGTATTATTTTTGTGTAAAGTCTTTGTTTCATTACCAATGCTTGTTATGACATTACTGCCTTCTATACTTATTACTTTATAGGGACCTGTATATGGGCTTGTGCCTTTTCGTGTTCTGTGAGTTTTTATTAATATTTCGTCACCTACATTTAAATTTATTGGCGAACTATTTTTCTTTGAAATTTCTTTTCTCCTAGCTTTTGCACTTATGCTAAACTCTCTTGCTCTATCGAGGGATAATCTTAGCCTTGCCTTTAATTCGTTGGCATAATTTTCTAAGTTAAATATTCCCTGATTGCTATGTATTTGTTCATTTGGTAATGATGGTAACTTACCAAATACTAATTCATGTGGGGAGTAGCCTGTGTCAACGTGTGGGGCAGTATTATAGGCAAAAGTATAATATGGTAACCATTCGTCCCAGTCATCGTCGTTAGCAAAGTTGAGTAGATATTCGTTTAGAACTCTATGGTTCCTTTCTATTGTACCTACCGTTTCATGGTGGTACGGAGTAGAGAAAATTTGTTTAATATTCATAATTTCTGTAACTTTAGTCAGCAATTCGTTTAAAAATTCTGTTCCTCTATCTGATTTTAAGATTTTAAAGGAGCCGAATTTTAGTACGAGTTGTTCTACTAAGGTTTTAGCTATTGTTTTGGCCTCTTTATTTACTATTGGATATGCAATTATGAATCGACTTAATTCACATTGCATAGTTAATATGTACCTGTATCCATTGGATGGTCTTAAAGGTCCAACAGTATCGATTTGTACTGTTTCAAAGGCAGTATGCGGTGTCGATGTTATTTGGAATTCCTCACGGTTGTGTCGTATTTGTTTATTGCGTTGGCATTTTTCACAGGTGCTAATATATTTATGAACCATCTGTTTCATTTTTTTCCATGTATATTTTTGTTTTAATTTTGTAAAAGTTTTGCGAACTCCTAGATGTCCGCTATGAGGATTGTCGTGATATTCCTCTATTAATCTGTATTTCTTCATGATGTCCGTAATGTTTTCTGGTTTCTTGTATAACAATATATTTAGTTTATATCGACTTTCATTTTTCTTCTCTCGTTGCAACTTATTAATCATTTCTTTAAATTTAGTTTTATCCATGGATTTAATTATTATGTCATCATCGCTTAGCGCTAGCATTGTTATATTCAATTCTTCTAGTTTCGAAATTAGCTTCACCATGATCGAAATCGGCTTCGGAGGTATTTCGCATAATTCCACTGTGACTTTTTTTGTCATCATAACGTATGAATGCATCCTTATTCTTATTTACAATTTTAAACTGCAGTGTTCTCATACCTCGAATATCACTAATAGAAGTACAATCCCAACAATAGAGTTGATCAGGCTCAGCTGGTTTTGTCTCTTTTTGTGTATTCTTATTGGTAGTTTTATTGGCAGCGGTACCTGTGGTAGCTGCAGCGCGCGTTTTACTTCTAGTCGTTATACATATTTGCGATATTTCTTTAACATTACTTATTGTTTCTCCATCTTCGTCTGGATTTTTCAATTTCCGACTGGACATCTTGTTTTCATTAGTAGGTATCAACTTTTTTAAAATATTACTGTCTATTTTTATTCTAGACAGGGCATCAGCATTAGTATTAATTTTTCCCTTTTTGTAGATTATTTTAAAGTCATAATCTGATAAATCGATTCGAATCCTCGTCATTTTTGACGAAGGATTCTTGTGCACGAATAATGAAATCAAGGGTCTGTGGTCAGTTACAACATAAAAATGTTTGCCATATATGTATGGTCTGAAGTAGTTTATTGCCCAATGTATCGCAAGTAGTTCCTTTTCAATAACTGGCTTGTTCTTGCTTTCCTGTAAAAACGGGTAGGAGTTTTTCTACACTTTCTATTACAGAGTCATACGACGCCATTGCTATTTGTGTGCCGTTGTTATTTTGATTACCACTTGTTATGTGGTTATTTATGGTTATAGCGTCAGGTGTCTGTTCAGTTGATGTCATATTCAAGAGATATTTTCTTGTCTGAGTATATTTTTCTAAAAAAACTAGAGCTAAAAATTCCTCAAAATTTTTGGTTACATATGTTGCTTCTATAAGCCTTTTAAGGTCATCTAACCTATTTAGTTTAATGGCTATCGTGGGCTTAGTATATCCTCTGATACTAGCCTTTTTTGCGTTTTTAAGAATATTCTGAACTTCCCCTATATATGTAGCAAAGTTTTCCATAAATCAAAATTAGTAACGAGATCGGACAAGAAAGCAAAATTCAACACAAATCAAATTCAACAAATTCAATAGAAAAAATTTTTTATACATTTTTTTTTTTTTGTATATTTTGTATGAGATATAATTCATAGATATAATTCATTATCTTTTTGTAAAAATTTTTTTTTGAATGTATGATATTATAGTTATGTCATAATTATGTAAATGTAACAATAAGAAAAAAAAATATATATAATAATAATATTATAATTTGTCTAAATATAATAACATGCTAGTGTTTAAACGTTATTGGAATTTAATGCCGTGTGTACACGTTTATGTACATATTTTTTTATGTACTTATTTATTTTATATGCAACGAATAAAATAATAAATACTATAAATAAAGTTATAATTACTACCTCTATATTTCCGGTGCTTGTAGCTGCATTGTTTTGTAGATTGTTGTTGGTCACCTCTGTCTTTTGTTGGACGTTGTTCTTCGTGTTGTATTCATCGCTGGAGAACCATCCCATCGTTGAGTCGTTGATGATGAAATTTGCTGTATTTTTAAATTGAGAAGTTTTCTTCTTGAATTAGATGAATATTTTGTTGTTACTGATGAAGATATCTCCAAGTTATATGCCAAGAAATTGAATCCAAAAAAACTGTTGTTGTTGTCTATGCACATACGTGTCTATTAATGTTTATGAGTTTTTTATTTTTGTTTTGTATAAACGCGCACTGAATTAAAAAGTTGGTTAACATAGTTTATAAGATCCTTATGTTTATTTTGGTGTTTTAATAACAAACTTTTTGACTTATAGGTTTGTCCACACACAAAACAGTTAAATTTGCACATTTTTAAAGTTAAATTATTTTACTTGCACTTATCGTTCAATAAATTGTAATTAGTTTATATTTTATAATTTATATTTGTTTTACATTTTTACCACACAATTAATTTTGTATTTTCACAGTTGCATTTTATTGTTACGACACTTATATAATTACTTGCACTTTTCATTCTATAAATTGTTCATATTTTATGAATAATATTTTCTTTTACAATTTAGTCCTTCCGATTTAGCATAAATTGTTCATTTTTTTATTAATAATAGTTTCGCTTTAACATTTAGTGCTTCCGATTTAGCATAAATTGTTCATTTTTTTATTAATAATATTTTCGCTTTAACATTTAGTCCTTCCGATTTAGCATAAATTGTTCATTTTTTTATTAATAATATTTTCGCTTTAACATTTAGTCCTTCCGATTTAGCAATAAATTGTTCATTTATTAATATATTTTCGCTTTAAACATTTATCCTTTCCGATTAGCAGGATCCGCCAGTAATTAGTTTATTGTTACATCATATTGTAATACTTTAAAAATCAAAGACTTGTCGTTTTGAGTGTTCTTAAGAGACTGTTTTTATTCAATTTTATTTCTTAACTCTAACATCAATTCTTACAACTAATTTCCAATAGAATCTTATGTATCGATTCTATTGGTTGATACTTACATTTACTTACGTTTACTTACGTCTAATTGGTTAACCCAAATTAGACGTACATAATAATTTACAAATATTATTTATTTACTTATTGGTCATTTATTCATATCTATTTCACAGTGGCACACATCTGGTAACCAACTGTATTGAGGACAAATCATATTGCATGCATAATCGCTTGCAATATGATCTGTGAAAAACTTAACACAAATTCATGTGCTGAGCATGCCGCAATCCAAATTGTCAAATGCATATTGAAATAATTAAATATGCATACAAATATTTTGTCATAAAGAAATGACAAAATAGACGAGTCAAATTTCTGACTCATAAATTATTTTATATTTGACAATTAGGTCTTTCGGTCATGCTTGATATTTGAGAGTTTTGGGTTGGCATGACACATTAAATACCGCACACAACGTATTGTGTGTGGTCATGGTTAATATGTCACTACACCCTCACCCTTTAAGAAAAATTTTTATTTTTGAACAAAGTTAAACAGAAAAATTTTTAAAAATATTATTTTTTTATTTATTTATCTTTTTGAATTGACCATGACCTTATATTACAAATTTGGCATAACATATGTATGTTAAGTAGCATATGTTTAGTTCTTAAATTTTAGGACTTAATAAATAAATCATAGGCTTTATTTATGTAGATATATTTTGATATATTATAATATAGTAAGTATATATATAGCATAATTATGTAATTCATTATAATTATTTCATTAACATTATAAAATTTGTTAAAATATCTAATAATTTTAAAGTTAATTTAAATTGTATATGTATTTAATAATAAGACAATATTGTAATGTTATACTTAAATTGTGAATTTTATTTTAATAAAAAAAAATATATATATTTTTACTTCATTTTCTCCTGTATAACTTAGTGTTATTTTTATGTAGAGTTTTCGTTTCATTTCCAATGTCGATACTAACATTACTATCCTCTATTTTGATTACTTTATAGGGACCTGTATATGGGCTTGTGCCTTTTCGTGTTCTGTGAGTTTTTATTAATATTTCGTCACCTACATTTAAATTTATTGGCGAACTATTTTTCTTTGAAATTTCTTTTCTCCTAGCTTTTGCACTTATGCTAAACTCTCTTGCTCTATCAAGGGATAATCTTAGCCTTGCCTTTAATTCGTTGGCATAATTTTCTAAGTTAAATATTCCCTGATTGCTATGTATTTGTTCATTTGGTAATGATGGTAACTTACCGAATACTAATTCATGTGGGGAGTAGCCTGTGTCAACGTGTGGGGCAGTATTATAGGCAAAAGTATAATATGGTAACCATTCGTCCCAGTCATCGTCGTTAGCAAAGTTGAGTAGATATTCGTTTAGAACTCTATGGTTCCTTTCTATTGTACCTACCGTTTCATGGTGGTACGGAGTAGAGAAAATTTGTTTAATATTCATAATTTCTGTAACTTTAGTCAGCAATTCGTTTAAAAATTCTGTTCCTCTATCTGATTTTAAGATTTTAAAGGAGCCGAATTTTAGTACGAGTTGTTCTACTAAGGTTTTAGCTATTGTTTTGGCCTCTTTATTTACTATTGGATATGCAATTATGAATCGACTTAATTCACATTGCATAGTTAATATGTACCTGTATCCATTGGATGGTCTTAAAGGTCCAACAGTATCGATTTGTACTGTTTCAAAGGCAGTATGCGGTGTCGATGTTATTTGGAATTCCTCACGGTTGTGTCGTATTTGTTTATTGCGTTGGCATTTTTCACAGGTGCTAATATATTTATGAACCATCTGTTTCATTTTTTTCCATGTATATTTTTGTTTTAATTTTGTAAAAGTTTTGCGAACTCCTAGATGTCCGCTATGAGGATTGTCGTGATATTCCTCTATTAATCTGT